GTAAAAATTTCTTGAATGTGTTTTAGTTTCACTTGCCAACAACTCTTGGAAATAGTTAGCTGGTAATTAAAAATGTGAGGAGAGCGCTGCCAAGCAGAGGTTGAAGAGCAGGTCAGAGTTTTCAGAGGAGGAGGTAATCGTGTGTGTAACAGTAGTAACTATGTTTAGTTTCTTAACCTGTTGAAATGTTTAGTTAATTTAGTTCTTTTCTGCTCCCCCACCCTTTGCCCTTAGAATGCAGGGAGCTGAATGTTTCACAGCTGTTCTCTTCTACAAATGTGTCTCTGTCATCTCTCATAAGACCCAATTCAGTTATCATTGCACATGAGACAAATCAGATGTTTGTTTCTGAGCATTGTGGGTCCATTGGGTCAATGGACTTAAAGCAGTTCACATCTGGAATGCACTGATGAAGAATGTATCTCCTGATATTTCATCAGATTTTAGTTTTAGACGTCTTAAATTTGATTGCACAACTCTTACAGATGCGTGCTCAAAACTAACAAAAACAGAGGGTTCTCAAACATCTTGAGAAGGGAATATTTTCCCAGTGTCCCTCTGCTCTTTCCATAGTTCATAATTAATGTCGTAACAAAGAACCATGATACAAAAAGTTTCTCCTTAGCAGAACTCTTTCAGTCACTAAAAATAAGAAAATGGCTACAAATTCCTACAAATATTTAGGATGTTTGTTGTTTTTTTATTTGTCTTCCTTCTGTTTCCTGATGCAACTCATTAATTTCATAGTAAACGTATGATTCCTAGTTCTTAGTGATGTAACAGCAAGCATGTATTTGTATGTTTGTAACCTAGAAACCCTCTTAGCCGTGTTTTTACACTCAGCCTCGGGCCCCATTTTGTCTTCATAATTAATCTCTTAGAACTGAAGGGAGTTTCTCAGTCTGTCATGAGTGAAAATAGGTTTTTTTGTGACGTGAGTGTGACTAAGTCTCCCATAGGGAATTTCACATTTGAAACCTGACTATCTATCTGATTGTTACTGGTTATTTAAAGTCTTACCTGGACCTTTTTATCTTTGGCATCTGGAAAACCTGAATAACCTGTACTCTTTTTAACTTTTGCACTTCAGCTTCCTCTTTTTATTTGTGTTCTGTAGAATCCTAACACTTTCTACACAGAAACAGTGTTTTATGGATATGTAAGGCTGTGCACAAAAATCAAAATATCAATATGTATTAATATTTTTAAATGATATTGTATCGATTTTCTTTCTTTTAATATTGATGATACCCCCGCCCCCAACACTTAGGGGGCAGTGTAACGATTCCTGTTTAGAGCAAAGAACAAAAAGCTGCAAGTGAGATTAATGAGTAAATGGCCAACAGTATTCAGGAAGCACCTTTGTCCTTTAAAATAAGAATTGTGGACACAATTTGGGTTATATAATTATAAATATATATTTCTATAAAATTTTGCTGGTTTTGTTGAGTCAGTGGCATTGAGCAGTAAGTATAAAGC